CCAAGAATCCAGATTTAAAAGGAACCATCTGGTTCATTTAGTTCACTGTAACAGTAATAGATGGATTTTGTCCTGAAAGGTTAGTGTCACAGACACATGTAAAATCTGGAACATTTTGAATGCACTATAACAAGTTAAAAGCCTTTTTAAATATCAGAAGCAACTTAAAAGTATAATGATAGAGTATAAAAGGAAATAACACACAGAGAACTGTACACATACAAGCAAGAGATTTTGCCCATGTCCTATATTTCTGAAATGACCTTTTAAGTATTGTATACTTAATTCAGAGTCTAAATACAGCTAAGAACTATTTTAAATAATTATGTTTCAATTATATAAGACAATGGTGACAAAATCATAACTTAGATCTGATCCAGTAACTGTCAGTAGATCTGCCAGTGTGGAGGAGGTGATATATATCCACTTTGAGTTCTGAATTTCTTGTCTTTATTTTGTGTTAAAGCCTCTTCTACCTTAAAAAAGAAAAATTAAAAAAAATAAATCCCAGTTTGCATCTTCTCTGTTCTGCCTACAGCCACCCCACCTCTGTGTGTCCCATCTGTCTATTCCTTTCTTGCTGTTCTTCAGCTAAAGAACTCCCAAAAGATCTCTCTTGGCTCTGCTTGCCATTCTAGCTTGGCCAGCCCCATCACTACAGTAGGCTAGAAGATTGCAGATAAGTCAGCTGCTCAGTTTTCACCAGTCAAGCAGTCTTGTTACAGCTTTCATACTTTAACCCACCCCTAGTTTCAGATGACAGGCTTTAGGTATACCTTTTCAGAGAATTAATGAGTGTATCCTTCTAACCAATTCAGTACCTAATCAGTATTGTTGAATAAAAACAAATCCAGCACATACTTCAAACACAAAGTTTGAGGAAGACTCCCCCTTCCTGTCCAATTATGTTCTGTTTAATATTTGATTCTGTTAATGCTTCACTATCCCATCTCTTTGAGGCTTGAGGATACTCAGCTTACTTAGCATCTCTATTATCCATGCTTACAAAAATGCAGACAGACAAAAAAAATGATATGACATTTTCAGTTCAACACAGAAAGAAAAGCATTTAAACGTAATTATAACAATTTGTGCAATTTCTCAGCCACAAACTGAGAAGTAAATAAAAGAAGCTATCATAATGGCTGATGTTTAATTTTCTGTATCCTATCTCGAATGAAATCACAATTAGACAGGATACTTTACAACCTCAACTATTTATAAGTCCCTTAACAAGACAGTTTCTATGTTCTTTCAACTGGCAAATTCAGTTCTAAACAGTAAATGAACAAATTCCTTTTAGCAAAGGCCAAACTGGATTGGTGCAGGAACACTAAGATCACAAAGATATTCCAGCCATTACATTTACCTAATACATAGCAAAACAGAGAAACAGAACAAGAGTCTATTGTGGTTGACAGCTGACAACTAAACACCTACAGGCTGCTCTCCCTCATTCCTCCCTCCCTGGTGGGATTGTTGCAAGTTAGGAATTGAACTAACTACGATTAGGGGGGAAAAAAAAAAAAAAAAATTCACATAAAAGAGAACATAAGGGACACACAAAATAAAAACACAGCCTAGATAACAGTGAAACAGTGAGAATTAGATAAAACCAGATTCCAATTAGAGAAAAACATGCCCCAAGTAGTCAACAGCCAGGCCTTGAGACAGGTCTGCAGGACACCTGCTAGATGGATTAAAGGGATGGAAAGAAGCATTCCCCACAGCTTATCTTGGTTACTGCCTTGAGCACTGGGGAAAAAGATACTGAGTAATTGAAATCACTGTATTAATACATAAATGAGCCATAAGCATACCAAAATACCCACCCACAGGCTAGAGGGACTCCTACTATCAAAAAAGCCCCCTACTCTGACCATGCATAGTGAAATCTCACTTTAAATGGAAGGGACTGAAACATGCGATCCTGACATCCCAAAAGAGTATCCCAACTACAAGTCTAGGGAACAGCCTAGGTGAATCAGTGTGTAAACTCTTCCTTGAAGATTCCTCAAAGTATACTTCCTTCAAGTATATGGGGAGAATGACTAGCAGAATACTCAGTTGGAAATGAGAAATCTGTTTTGTCTCACTGTCCTCTGCAGCTTATATTTTAACATAAGCATTTATACACATATACAAATAACATTTAATTAAATCACATTCAGTAAATGCACATTTTGTCTGCAGGTGTGCTACAGTCACTCATTTTAGCTTCCTATGTTTTGAAAGTTTTAATATAGTTCTTAGTGGGAAAAAAAAGTGTCAATTTAGTCCAAAAGTTACTGCAATCTTCTGAGACACAAGGTACTTCTTCCTCTGACCACTAGCTGCACTTCCAGTAAGATGCACATATTCAAAGACAGCAACTTATATGCCTAAAACCTAAGCAACTACACCACCCTAGGACACCAAATACATTCACAAACATTCAGTTGCCAGACAGAAACAACAAGTGATTTCTTTCTCTCTAGAGAGCTACTTGGAGGAAGGATTGGAAACCTAAAACCACACTGAATACCACCTCCAGGCAACTAAATTCCACTCTAAGTTTGAAGACAGATACAAAATACAGAAAAATCAGGTTCACAGACTGTCTTCCAAATGCCTTGAGATGTAACCTTAGTGTAAACTTCACTATAGTAACAAGACAGTATTCAAAGCATAAAAAACTCCCAGCCAAAAACCTACAATACCATAGATAACCACAAGTTATCTAAACAACGGGTTTCACTTATATACTTAAAATCATATCAATCAGACCTTTACTTCTAAAGTATCATACAGCTACTGCCTACCCTGTTCCTGAAATCCAGACTCTCACCAGTTCTGTTTTGACCTTGGAGAAACTCCAATTAATTTCATCTGAACACATTAGCAACAAATAATTTCTCCCTGTTTCCCACAATCTCTCACGAAATGTGGTTTTATACATTCTTTTCTCCTTCACTCCAAATATTTCCATCTTCATCCCTTTTAAAATCTGTTGATTGACACATAGCACCACTGTTCTGTTCAATGAACTGAAAATATTCTGGCTGAAAGTTGCATATCTAAGTATCCAATCAGCTGGTAACATACAGAGGCAAATATGAAATGGAAAAGGTATTTGCTTCCAATGAAAGAATTCAGGGCATTCAAATGAAATACAATATAAAGTTAAAAAGAAAGATCTTAACCTTCATAAGCAAAGACTGTTACCAATATTGTATCTATTCATACCCTGCAGCTATGCTGTGAGAAAATACCTAATTTTTTTAAAAAACAATGAAATCACCCCTTCAGTTTTTTATATGGTATAAATATTAATAGCCTTGAGTGTGTGGTTTCTCAAGATTAAAGATATAAGCACCATAATTCTCTGGCTACATTATTAAAATTTGAATCACCCAGTTCCTTATGGCTACAGATAACTTCTAATCAGTTAATCCATGATAAACCTAAACAGATAACTAGATGTCAAATAATTAATCTTACCTGACAGGCAGATGTATGTTAAATATTCACCCTGACCACCAGTAGCTAGGAAAGGAATCTTTTTTTTTGTTCTTCTTTTCACTTGGACAGCTCCCAGCATCCTTTCATCGTGTGGGGCAAAAATTTCCTTGCTGATTGCAGATTTGGCATTCATTGTAGATCACAGATACAACAGGCTGCTGCTCTCTAAAAATGAAATAAAAAAATATTAGAAACTCCTAAGTTATGTGAAAGTACAGTTACCTAACATGGGCATTATCAGCTCTGACCTTCAAATTGTTTTCAATGATTCATAGAATTTAGAAGATAACTTCATGCACTTAGAGGCAGAATTTTTCAGCTAAGAGTCTTCAGTAAAGCTGTTCACCACACTTCTTAGATTCTCTTCAACTAGTTAAGTGTTTTTTGGGCAGCAGCTGTCCACACTAGCACTTCAGTGTGATGCACAACCATCCCAGAGGGACATCCCGTAACTTTGTGCTGCATAAAAGTTTCATTAATTCTGGTAACTGAGGGGAAACTCCTCTGTCTGACATAGGGAAAGCACTGAAAGGGCATATGGAAGTGAGTTCTTCATTGTCCACTCTGAGCTTGGTAACTGACAACAGTTGTGTTGGCAGACAAGTCATGTTCATAGAAGATACAGAAAGCTTTAGACTTGGTAAGACTGCTCCTTCAGGAGCGCTGCTCTTGGTGACAGCACTTGATTAAGCAGCTCCTGCAACTCTTGTAGCTTTAGCGCCTCATTTCCTCGATTCCTCTGTAATTGACAATTGGGCAACTGCACAGTAAATAGTGTCAGATAAATCATCGGGGTTAAGACAAGGCCACACCTCTTCTTTTCTGCAAAGTAATTCTGACCTAGGTCAGTTCCTCAATGTGTTTCATCAGAAAACACCATAGTCAACTTAAGAGACATTTGGAAAGAAAAAAGAATGTAGAGAACAGGGAGGGAGACAGAGAGAAGCTGCTTATTCAGGCATGCCAAGGAAAAGAAAGGTCTGACCACAGTTAACAGAAGAGCCTACCTAAAGGAGAGAGAACACAGTTACAGAGGGGATATTAACAGGCTCTTTATGTAGATGTCATCACAGATATAATTCAAATTGTGCTCTGAAACCTGTTAATGAGTATATAGATCCCACTGATAGAGACTGCCAAATGCCCCTTTCTTATAATTGTTCAAATACAATGATGTTCCAATACACATACACAAAATTCCATTAAATTTGGTATTAAGACTTTCAAGCCCACAGATCTTTTGTCAAGCTTAGCTTTCTTAGTATGAGTAAGATCAACTACTGAAGCCAAAAATTCTGCCTGTGGGGTGTTTTGATATTTGCCACAATTTACTATTAGAAAACATACATAAATTCCAGTCTGTCCTGGTTTGAGCCAGGATAAAGCCATTTTTTCTTTTTACTGATTTTTTTTTTTTTTTCCTTCAGTAAGCTTTCTTGTAGCTAGCAACAGTGTGTTCTGCTAGGCTGATAAGACAGTGGAATGTTTTTCTAACTACTGAGGCTTCAAGGCTGCACCTGCACTCTGCCAGCTCAGACACTATGGGGAGATCTGTGACCCCCCCGTAGGAGGCTGAGTTAGATGGACAGCAAAATTGGCCAAAGATATTCCATTCCATATATCTACGTAAGCTCAGAGGAAGGTCAGAGATCACAGGAGACAACTTCCTTCCTTCTTCTTCTCCCCTTCTCTTCGGTCCACGGCCGGCGTCCAGGGAGGACTCTGTTCATCCATCACAGTCGACCCTTAGGCTCGAGATCTCCTGATCCCCATAACTCTCTGCTTTCTCCAGCAGCAGCTCCGGGATTCCTCGGGACTCTTCCCAGTTCAGGGAAGTGCTGTGGGAGTTGCTGGGGTGGGGGGAGGCAAGAGGCTTTTGCCCATATATCTGTATATAATTGTATATATTTTCTTGTATGATTCATTAGTCTTTTAATTAAAGCTGTGTAGTTTAGTTTTCAATCCAGCCCAGTCTCTCTCTTTTTCTCTCTCTCCTTCCCTACCTGGGTTGGGGGGAGGGGGGATCGAGAGCATTGTTGTCGGACCTGAGTCAAACTGTGACACAGTCAAATGAGCTTATGAAGCCAAGAGAGTCATGGATTAATTATTTTTTGTGTGCAGACTACCAACAAAGAATTTTTCTTAACACTTCCAGTCTCAGCATTTGGTTGGCACTTATTTATCATGAGAAACAAAGGGAGAAAAAGGGGAAAAAAAAAAAAAAAAAAGAGAAAAGAAAAAAAGAGGTAGGGGGAAAAAGGGAGGGGAAGAAGGAGGAGGATGGGAAGGGGCAGGGAGTGGGGGAGGAAAAAAAAAAAAAAGAAGAAAAATAATTTAAAAAAAAGAACAACAATGAAAAAGAACCCCCTGTATTCATGGGGAGAGAGCATGAGAGAGCACAACTTAGTCCAAAGCAAGTTCACCATCTATTTGTTTTGAGATGCAAACAGAATTCTCTGACAAAATCATCTGTAACAGAATACCTCAGCTAACCAATATAGAGGTACGCAAAATCTGACTAGCTTCCGCAGTAAAGACTCCAGAAGCACCTTGACAAAAATCAATTGCATTTAAACAATAAGCACATAAAAAAAAACAAACCACCAATTTCAAAATAAGAGAATGCTCAGCTCCTGAAAAGATGGCATTTCCTAATTCCTGCCATATAAGTTAACTATCTTTTAACAACAAATGCATCACCATGAAAAAGAATCAAAATAAATTTACCTGCTGTTTACTTAGAAAAGGTTGTTTTCACATTAATGTTTATTATATCACAATTTTCTCATTTTCTGTGTTATGAAATTATTAGCAGTATGTCCTTTACCAGCATGCAAGCTGGGGAGGGGGAGGGCTGGGGAGGAAAAGCAGGTTGATTTTTGAGGGATTTTTTGGTTGTTGGTTTGGGATCTTTCTTTCCAAATTCAAGGCCATCGTCAATGACTATGGGTTTACTCACACTGACCTCCCTCTGACTGACATAAAGACTGATAATCTCTGCAAAAATAACTTCAGTCTCAGATCTTCACATGCTTAAAGAATTTTACTGGAAAAAACACACAAATACTGTCAGAAAAAAAACCACAAAAACAACTTGAATTATATCCAACTGAAAAAGTGTTCTCCAGTTTGCAACTACCTGATGCTGTTGATTCAGCAGCTGAATGGTTAAATAGGTGTTCTCAGGTGTTTTTTGGTATATAGCTGCATTTGGTAAGACTCTGCTGAACAGGAGGCAAGCCAAATAGAGAAAGAGATACTACCCAAATCCTATTTAAAAGATTTCCCAAATTATTTTGCTCCTTATGTACACTGCAACTTAAAGCATGTAACTAGAATGACGGCGACATATGCAGCAAACAAACAAACAAACAAAAAGCAAAACATAGATTTAATTAACATATTTAAGTATCTATACATCTGAATCTCCTAATCATAGAATTCATGCAATAATGCAAGTACTCTTATACATAAACACCATAAAAACTTTATTTAAAGCCTAGCTCAATATAATATCCCAAGACAGATTAAACCGCTCTTTCAGTGGAGACACAGAATACATGGAAAAAAAATTAAATATTCCATTTATTGCTACATGCTATTATTTGCTTTGCAATTTAGTTGGTTTTATTCATCCAACAGAAATTGTATACAGACACAGTAGACACCAAATGTGGTAACCGGAATCTCTGACTAAAGCATGCACTCATTGCTTAGGAGGTTGTGATCCTTCTGTTCCCAGTACTTGGTTTACAACAGTCTCAGATACCAGAATTCAGTCATTAATCTAATGTAGTGTGCTTGATATGATTGTTGAAATTAATGTGAAAACTGACACTAGTACAAACCACAAAAGCCTATTTATTTAGAAAAGGAAAAAACAAATTTTGCCTGTGTGCAAAGAAATTTCTGAGCTGTCAGTATAGTTTGGATGAAGTTATTTCTCATAGGTCAAAGAAAAATCAGTACATGCAAAACTTCATGTAGTACATGCAGATTTCTTTCCACAGTAATGTTTGTTCTTGGCACATTTTCCAGGAAAAATTCAAACCTCCAGCAGTTTCCATTCACAGCCCATGTAGACTCACACACTTTGGAATGCAAACATCCTCCTCTATGCTCGAATATAAAATGCCTTAAAAGTAGAAACTTTTACTGGAGGATGTCTAAGCACTCTGAGAGAGTATGTTACTGTTCATAATGTTTATCCCTCTATGGCAAGAGGGATTTAAATGTTTCAGTAAACATTAAGAGCCTTGAAAGAATGCCCACATTTCCTGCCTTGCACACATGGTTTCTTCCATATACCTAATTCTGCTCAAAGTATTATAATGATACTTTCAAGTGAAAGAAGAAAATTCCATTTTCCTCCCCTGTTTTTTTACTCCAGTCATGACAATGTTACAGAAGAGGACATCAGCATTTACACTGTATCCCTAGCCCTCCACAGAAACACCAAAGAGGGAAAATTCCTGTGTAGATTTGAGCCAGTGTCTGCAATGCACTGCTCATTTGAACCTCCTCAGATCTTTCTCTGCTGCAATTCTTCTCCATGGTATATCTATCACTAAAAACTCCTCCAAGGAACAGATGACCAGTCCTCCTTATGTGTGTGTGAGAGGACAAAGAATAAAGGGGTTTATTTGGTTTTGTTTTTTAAAAGAGAGAAAAAAGATCCCACAGTTCCTACACTTTCAGTAATAAAAAAAATTGTACTGTTTTCCAGTAAGCCAAAGTTGAAGGCCCTTTTCAGGCAGACAGACAGCAAGCGCCTAACTTCTTTTTATATCCAGATGTGTTACGGGACCATGCAAGTAAGTGGGAAAAAAGATTTACAGTATCTTTGTTGAGGTATCGATACACAGAAGGAATTGGGGAAACTAGTCCTCAGCATGCAGTTTAAATATTAATAAATTAGCAAGCAGAAAAGAACTAAGAAGAAAGAAGAAAGGAATAAGAAGAAAGAAACAAGACAGAGCAAGTACTGTTATTTAAAAAAAAAAAAACAAAAACAAACAAAAAAAATCACAAAAAACAACTTTCAGTATGTTAAAGCTCTCCTTTTTCAAATATTTTTAGTTTAATCACAAACAGGGATGGGCTCACAGGACAGGCTAACCACTGAAATGTTGC